CAAAAGCGCGATCTCCTCTAAATTTACGCTCAGTCCTGGGTACAATCAGGAGCAGCTGATCAGCAGACCTGAGAGAGCGGGAGGGAGTGTAAGGCTGTATCAGATCAGAGAGATAAGAGGGGGCGAGGCCATGAAGACCTTTAAAAGCAAATAAAAGAATTTTAAAATGAATCCTAAAAGAAATGGGCAGCCAGTGGAGTGAAGCTAAAACAGGGGAAATGTGCTCAAACTTTCGAGTGCCAGTTAAAAGACGAGCTGCGGCATTTTGCACCCTCTGTAGGTGACTAATACATGATGCGCTGACCCCAATGTAGAGTGCGTTACAGTAATCCAGCCGAGTGGTTACAAAGGCGTGGATCACTGTCTCAAAAGTGCTGCCGTGAAAGAATTGGCTTTATTTTTGCCAGCTGCCTGAGGTGAAAGAAGCCAGATTTTACCACCGCCTTAATCTGATGTTCAAACTTCAGATCACAGTCCACTTTGAGCCCCAGGTTGGTGACAGTTGGTTTAACAAACTGGGCCAAGGAATCTACAAACACATTGGGGGTCTCAGTAGGACTACCAAAAATCATCACCTCAGTCTTTTTATCATTGAATTTTAAAAAGTTCACAGACATCCAAGCCTTTATGTCGTCAAGACACTGTAGTAATGGCTGTATGAGGTTTCTGCCTTTTTTTTTTAGAGGGACATAGATCTGACAGTCGTCAGCATACAAGCGGAAGGCAATGCCATGCTTTCTCAATATAGAACCGAGAGGAAGAAGATACAAAGAGAAGAGGAGGGGGCCTAGAACTGAGCCCTGCGGGACACCACACAAGAGCGGAGCGGAGGACGACACATAGTCACCGAGACTGACACAAAATGTTCGCCCCGCCAAATAGGACCTGAACCACTCCAGAGCTGTGCCGCTAATGCCCACCCAGTGCTCTAAACGAGAGAATAAAACAGCATGATCCACAGTATCAAAAGCAGCTGTCAAATCTAAAAACACAAGAACAACACAGTCCCCAGCATCAGTAGCTAAGAATATGTCATTAAAAACTTTTAAAAGGGCTGATTCAGTGCTGTGAAAGGGTTTAAAACCCGATTGGAAAACCTCTAATACATTTTGCTTTTCCAGGAAGGCCAATATTTGGCTATAGACTATCTTTTCAAGAATTTTAGAAAGAAAAGGTAGTTTGGAGATAGGCCTGTAATTCGCAAGATCCTGCGGATCAAGAGCAGGTTTTTTAATCAGGGGTTTGACTACTGCATGTTTAAAATCTTTAGGGACAACACCTGACATCAGACTATGGTTTACCAGCCCAAGAACCAAAGGACCAACTGTAGGTAACACCTCTTAAAAGTCGAGGAGGAACCGCATCATTTGGAGACCCTGCAGGCTTAAGATGACCAACAGTCTCCTGTAGACATGACAGAGTCACAGGCTCAAACCTGTCAAAGACAGCAGAGCAGGAAACAACGACTGAGGGGTCATGAGCACAAGTACAGATTTGAGCCCTTGTGGAGGAGACCTTCTCAATAAAGAAGAGTAACAAATTTTCACAGGCTTCTAATGAGGGCTCGATACAGTCAGCATATGGTGCACTAAGAACAGAGTTAATAGTTTTGAATAAAACACGCGGGTTGTGGCAGTTAGACAAAATAATGTCCGATAGGTTTTCTTTTGGCCTCTTTCACAGTTCTTTGATATTGATGCCAACAGTCCTTCAGCATCTGAAATGACACCTGTAGTTTGTCTTTTTTCCATTTGCGCTCAGCTCGACGGCAGTCGCGTCCGACAGCTCGGGTCATTTCGTTCAGCCAAGGCTCAGATTTGGTTTTAGGCCGCCTGGTTTTTAATGGAGCCACAGTGTCCAAAGCAGTCCGACAGGTGGAATAAAACCAAGAGCTCAGTTCCTCAGTCTGGCTGCATAAAAAATCCGGGATCTGACAAATCTGGTTAAAGACTGTTGAAAATTGCTCAGCAGTGGAGGAGTTAAAAACACGTCTGCGCTGAGCAACAGCGCGAGGTTTAACTGAGGCACATACAAGAGGAACTTCAAACATCACAGGACTGTGGTCAGAAAACACAGCATCACAAATCTCTATGTTAAAACTAGGGATAGCCATGAGATAAAACAAGATCGAGTGTGTGTCCAAGTTCATGTGTGGGACCTGCCACACATTGCACCAGATTAAATGAATAAATGAGGTTTAAAAAGCCCCTCACCATGAGCACATCAGGACAACACACGTGAATATTAAAATCCTCAACAATAAGAATATGATCATATTTTGGCATGAATTCAGCCAAAAAGTCAGCAAAATCATCCAAAAAGTCCTTATTGTATTTAGGTGGCAGATAAACCACCACACACAACAGTGTGAGAGCAGCCCAGCTCAAACACAGACAGTTCAAAGCTGGTAAGCGACGGGGCTAGTAGCTGTTTACATCTAAAAGGACTTTTAAAGATAGTGGCTATTCCTCCTCCTCGGCCCAACATACGCGGGGAATTAAAATAGCAGCAATCGCCAGGTAGAAGATCAGAGAAGATGCTGCACTCACCAGCGCTCAGCCACGTCTCGCAGACACAGAGAAAATCCAGTCCTTGGGATGTAAAAAAATCCTTCAAAATAAATGTTTTATTCGCTAGAGACCTAGCATTTACCAGGCCAAACCTGGCAGTAAGCGGTGGGTCCCCGTCGCTAGAAGCCCGACACAGAGGCCGCAGGTTTCGCGGATTCACACCACACCGGCGGGGACGAGGAGAGCAGGGTTTTCGGGACTGGGACGTCCCATCCAGGCCGAAGAGGGGTACCAGCCAGGCACAGACAGAATCCAATGATCGCAGAGAGAAGCGGAGGTTTGGCACCGCTCCTTGTTTTCTAAATAAGGGCTTGTGAGAATACCCTAAAGAAGCTTTCAGCTTCACCAGGAAGCCGGCCCGGTGACCCCAGCGACGGCACTTATGCCGGAGTGGTGGATCTGGAACACGGCACAGGTGAGCCGGGATCTCCGATATTAGCGGGGGCAGAGTTTTATGTCCAGCTTGGTTCCATTTTGCCCAGCCTTTGGCAGAAGGTCGGAGATCCAGTAGCGTTAGGCGGTCATTTACCAAGAGAGAGTTGGCATTTCCTACAATAGTCAATAAAATCAAAACAAACAAACATAACACTGGTAGTGACAGACGGCAAGCCACGCACACTGGCGCCATCTTCTACCCATCCCCATCCAGGCCGAAGAGGAGTACCAGCCAGGCACAGACAGGATCCAACGATCGCCGAGAGAAGTGGAGGTTTGGCACCGCTCCTTGTTTTCTAAATAAGGGCTTGTGAGAATACCCTAAAGAAGCTTTCAGCTTCACCAGGAAGCCGGCCCGACGACCCCGGCGACGGCACTTATGCCGGAGTGGTGGATCTGGAACACGGCACAGGTGAGCCGGGATCTCCGATTTTAGCGGGGGCAGAGTTTTATGTCCAGCTTGGTTCCATTTTGCCCAGCCTTTGGCAGAAGGTCGGAGATCCAGTAGGGTTAGGCGATCATATACCATATACCTCCTTTCGTCTTCCCTGATAGCTCTTTTTCCCGGTCTGCGCGATGTAAACAAAACCCGAGCAGGTATAATCCATTATCAGGAGTCAAGTCACTGAGCCACGTTTCAGTCAGTGCGTTTACATGCAGCCAGTAACCCTTTTAAAACCTGAATATTCACAATAACCCGGTTCCGCAGGTCCTTGTAAACACAGCCAAAAACCCGGATATGCTCATAACCGGGTTTTTAAAAAGCCGGTTACTACACCTGGGGTAACCCTTTTCTAACCCGAATGTTTGGTCGTGTAAACGCATATCGGGATATCCCTATCAAAGCGTGTGTTCCGCGCATGCTCTGTTCGCAAGGAATCTTGGTCTTTTGAGTAGCGAGCCGTCTTGTATGCGCCAGAAAACCGGAAGTAAACAAGTTGGGAGTAAAATGGCGAGTCGCGGCACAGCACCACACTTTTGGAGTGATGAAGAAACTAAAGCACAAACAAACGCGGTCGCTATCTCTTCCGAACTGGGAAACATGTTGTTGTTTTCACGGATACCGGAACAAGAAGAACCGGAAATGAGACATATTGCGTCTGGACGTAGTCCATACGTCTTGACATTACCCCAACGTCCGCATTTAAATCGGGTTATGCAAGTTAGGGGTAACTCTTTCTATTTATGCTTGTAAACGGGTTATTCTGATCAACTCAGAAACCCGAATACCGACCTTAACCCGATCATAACCCGGATATTGGCTGCATGTAAACGTAGTCATTAAAGCAGAGGGCAGCGGAGTGTGCAAAATCTCGATTAGTCCTGTTCAGAAGGAGCAGCTCGTCCATTTTATTAGGTAGGGATCGAACGTTTGCTAGGTGTATTGCTGGGAGAGGCATACGAAATCCCCGCTGGCGGAGTCTCACCAGCGCTCCTGCTCGTTTACCCCTCCTGCGTTTCCTTCTCCAACAAACAGCAGTACCTCCGATCAAAACTTCCAATAAACTCCCCGGGTCCTCAAATTTTTGAAAATCCGTCTCTGTGGTTTGTTGCCTGATACACAGTAGTTCATCTCTGCTGAAAGTAATCCGTTTTGCATCGCTGATTTCCAAAAAAATATACAAAAACAACACAAACAAAAGAGAGCAATGCACCGAGGCTGCCATCTGCGGCGCCATCCTGAGTATCACTGGATTATTCTGGACTCAGTACAATTCACCAAAAGTAAAGAGACATTATACAGATGAAGTAAGCACAAGATAACTTACTGGAAGAAACAGAATTATTATCATGAGAACCAGAACAAGACAGCCTTATAACACTCATGTGAAAATAACAGTTAAAAAGTATGTATGTGTAATAGAAATAAAAATATTTTAGAATTAGTGTAACTCACTGTGATCCAAACAATAAATCAGCCATAGCTAATTAGCAATCATGAAATGAGGTCCGGGAGTTTTTAAGTTTCATTCTTTTATTACATTTTTTTCTTAGATCTGTTAAAAGGTCACCATGGCAGCCTGTGTGTCTCCAACATCAGCTACACAACGTAGCAAGTGTAAGTTCCAAATACCTGTCTTGACCATTTCATGTATGGTTTTGTACTTTAAACAGCTAGGCCAAACCTGTTATTTTTTTCTCCATAGCCATTTGGATCATTGTTGACAGCTGAGTGAGGTGTGGTGCCCAGAGAGCTGCAGAGACCCTTGGAGACAACCATGGCCTCCCTGAAGTCCGTGTCTCCTGGTTCGGTTGGGGCAGACTGAGGTGGAAAGACCTTCTCCCCTTCTTTTTCCACTCCCTGTATGGAAGAGCAGCTCCTGATGTCCTTCTCATCCACTGTGGCGGCAATGACATGGGGGTGGTCATTAGTGTGAATCTGGTGAACATGAAGGAGGACCTGCACCGGCTTCACCTTCTACACCCTCATATCACACTGTTGAGAACTGTTCTTCCTTCTCAACCCAATGTTCCACTCACTCTGCAGCTCTCTGGGCCCCTTTTATTATTTTAAGTATTTTTTTAAATGTCCCGATACTTTGTGTCCTGTTATTTTATAAAATGTGACATAAACAAATAAATGTTTTTGCTCAATTACTGGAATTTCTTTGGTTAAGACAAAAAAGGAAGAATCATTTATGCCAAGTTGTTTCTACAACAGGCCCGTTTTAAGTCCAACAGTTTCTTAGCAGCCAATAGAAATGTGTTCTTTACTAACTTTACTTGCTTTAAAAATCTTACTAAAATAAACAGAGTGCTGTATTGCAAAACCAAATCATACTTGTTATGTAAATATTAGCTTTGTAGATACTTTTTACAGATGAATATTTGTCTGCTAAAAAAACCATGAACAAATAATTTGTCATTCTTTATTGAAAAACAACAAAATACAGGTATACAGAAAGTGTGGGAAAATTGATAATGTGAAAGTATTGCTCTTTAAATGTAATACTATTTATCTTTAAAAAGAAAAACTCTAAAAATGTCCTGTACAGCAACATGACAGAAGAAAGATGGTCTGTCTCTCAGAATGTGCTGAACAGATTTGCTCTATCAAGAGGAGCGTTTTGTGTACGAGTTTATGTTATTGTAATATTGGTTTGGGTTATGTATCTGACACGATCCAGGTGGAATGGAAGGTGCCACTAATATTAAAAGGATTAAAATAGGTTCTAAAAAAATCAAGGCAAGCAGTGCGACAGCCAAAGCAAATTAAAAAGGGACATTACAAAACCCTGATGATGATGCCAAGGGAAAAAGTGTGCGCAGGGCCCCAAGGGACAAGGCGGTCCAGTCCGGCTCTGCTGATCTCTCGACCAAGGAACCTCCAAGGCCGTCGTCGTCGTCGTCTGGGAACCACAGGATCACTGCACGGTGGATCCAATCCACCTCCTCCTCGGCCCGGCCCCTGTGGCACACAACAACTCCGGCAGTAAATAGGTCCCCGGCACCAGACCACTCACCGAGAGAGAGCAACTCTTAACACTGCCAGGCACTGATCAGTTACTTACGCGCGGGGGCAGAGTAACTCTGCCCGCCTGTGCCCTGGCGTATCCAGCCGTGGATCTCTCTCTCCGCTGTTGCTGCTGCTTCTCCTGCCGCTGCTGCTGCTGTCCGTGCCGCCGGTGGATCTCCTTCCAGTCCTTGCGGAGCTCGCGGTGTCCGTCTGGCTCCAGCCGAGTATTTTCCTTTCCCCTCACGTTTCTGCGTCTCCACGTCCGCTCCCTTAAATAAACAAAACCCTCCGCCCGTTCACCTCCCACCCTGCCTCTGTTCATTGTTTTCCAGTCCAGTCCACACTCCACTCCCAGGTGTAGGTAATTGGGGAGGATTAACACAGATGGGATGCAATGTTGCAGCAATCACTAAAAACATCCAAACAGTTAAAAATCAACCTAAATGCACCTAATCAATTAGAAAACATGCAATATAAAACATAACATAAGAACAACATTACCACTCTGTGAAATATTGCCACATTAGCATGTAAATGCTGAACCAATCTGGAATAAAGAGGGATGCTGACCAGTAGAGGTGGTTCACCACACTTTGCTTCCACAGTCTCACATCCTGGCTCGTCTTTCTCTTCCCCAGCTCTTCGATTTTCTTACCAATTCATGGAGAGCCAAATAGACCCACATTTAAAATAGAAAAAAAATCATGTAATATTCACTATATACATCCCCAAAGATTACCTTTTCCCATGTGCCAGGGGTCAAAGTAGTGACTGATTTTCTTTTTTTCCTCCCGCAAATACTTCTGCACCCATGTGTGGCGGTCAGTCACAACTTGCTGCACATCGACCCCCCCTCTCCAAAAGTGTGCTCAGACTTCGCACAAATCCCTCCTTCTCCATTCACACACTATTTCCAACTTCATTGCTCTGAAAATAAACATAATTCTCCATTGATCTGTGAATAATTAACCATGAAATGTGTTGGAATCATCAGGTAATGTTGTACCTGTACGAGTTGGATATCAATAACTTTGTTTCTTTTGAGATCCATCATGGTGTAACTGCCATATTTGGCTGAGTGTCATTCAGAAATGCAAGTTATTACTTAATTTACATTTGATAGCAAAGGAATAAAATAAATAAATTTAAACGTATTCACCAGGTGAATCAGCTCGCATGTCACCACCAAGAGTCACAGGTCCAGATTCAGTAGCCTCCTGGATGATAACAGCTTGCTCTAGCTGCCACTGCCAACTCACTGTTGGAATTAACAGCTTTGCCTGATGTCGATAGAATGTCTGCTTGGACAGTCCCTGCACATTGAAGGCACCCAGGAACTAAAATATGAAAAGTTACGTCATGAAATGAGAGATGCACAGACCTTTTCAAAACTAACCTAAACATTTTTGGCCTATACCATAGAAATCTGGCTAAATGATGAGCCAGACTTTCTGGAAGATGAATTTCCATCATGGTCCCTGTGTCACAAGACACACAGCGGCTGGGAGCTCTAAACTGGGTGGCTATATAAAAACAAAGAAAAAGCACATTTATAAATGTTTAAAAGAGCATAAAATCACGTGTAACAATAATCTGTAAAACACGTTAAAACTAGAAGGTAATAATAAAATGTTTACATGGACAATTATTAAAAATAATTCACCTTTGCTACAGGTAAGGCTTCACGTCAGGCTGGACAAATGCATTCTTGCAGCTAAATTAGTCTGACAGTCAATGTCTTGGGTAGATTTAGCCTGGGAAAAAAATAGAAGCACATTGTTGTTGGAGTTTATAAAGTCAGATAATATACAAAAGAAACTGTCAGATATAGGCGATTTATAACATTCCTAGTGTGTGATCGTTATTATAACGTAAAAGTCAGTCACATATGATGTGGAGAGCCTGAAATGCGACCTCCTGAACAGAATTCCTTACAGAACTGGGTCACGCTGTGCTGGATTTCACACTCTAATGATGTCTGTCAACTAGTGCTGTGTTAGTTAGAGTCACTGTTGCAGAATCGACTGACACAAAAACAACCCGAATTTTCTCCGAGCCTGACAGTAATAGTCATGTGGACCGATTCGTCGGCCAGGGCTTCGAGATATGTTCCGATTCACCGCTGATTCTAAACTTACATCCCGTTCCACATTTTGTGATTAGCCCGAAGGCAGTGCAGACCTAAGTGAACCACGTCTCTCAAACTTTGCATTTAGGTAGGGAATTGAGCTGCAGTATTTCTGCGGTCAGGTCTCTCTACGAGTCCGAGAGCTCCACAAGCGGTCAGCCCCGTCCGAGAGCTCCACGAGGGGTCAGCCCCGTCCGAGAGCTCCACGAGCGGTCAGCCCGCGCAGCAGCTAGTAGTCGCTGCATCGGCCAGACATGCACTGGGCTGACCGCCGGGGAGAACCGGGTGTCCACACAGGACAGAAGCCTTTTGCTTGTGAGCTCTGTAGTTGAAGTTTTAGCCAAAAGGGAGCTTTAAACAGTCACATGATAGCCCACACAGAAGTGTCCCTCCAAGAGCTCCGTCATATTTCAACCCATTTTTTATGTTAAATGCACTGGGTTTTACCCTTTTACCCATCGATATATGCTCTATTAATTATTTTACCGTATTTTACTTCTAAATTTCATGGTTAAACAGTACATGCTACATGTTAAAATGATAGTTAGCTAGCTACTTCGATAAACTCCACTAGTTTAAAGGCGGCAGTGACCTAAAATACATACATATAATTTAACTTACCGAAAAAAATGAAGTGGAGACTCCTTGGACGCTCTATTAGTGCAATTAATACCACAGCAAGTCATTTTGTCCAACAATTGCACAAATAATATCCAAAACAGAATACACAAACACAGAGACTCAAAATCCCGAAACAGTTTCCAGGCCAGACCGAGGCTCTACTGAGGCCTTTCCACGGAGCTAGCTCTGTGGTCACGTGTGTCTGAGGCGGCGGTCACGTGTGTCGGATGCTCATTAATTATACAAAATTTTAGGCTTTCAATACACTTAAACAGAAGAGTGAGAAAACAATTCACCCCCCTCAGAGTTGTCATGAGTGTAAACTAGATCATTTAAACAAAAAACATGTTTTGGTACCAGGCTGTAAACATGTATATTTCTGCTGTGAAATTGGTATTTTTAACATGGGATTCAATGAGGATTTGCTCGCTTCTGACACCAGCCCCCAGCGGATGAGGGTGGAACTGCAATTTTTGATACTTCCGGGTTGAGACCATTTTCTGAGCCGCATTGTGGGGGCTTGGTTGTAACAAGTGGTTATTTCAGTCAAAGTTGCTCTTCTCTCAGCTTGAATCAGGCGGCCCATTCTCCTCTGACCTCTAGCATCAACAAGACATTTGGCCCACAGGACTGCCGCATACTGGATGTTTTTCCCTTTTCACACCATTCTTTGTAAACCCTAGAAATGGTTGTGGGTGAAAATCCCAGTAACCGAGCAGATTGTGAAATCCTCAGACCGGCCCGTCTTGCACCAACAACCATGCCACGCTCAAAATAGCTTAAATCACCTTTCTTTCCCATTCTGACCATCATTTTGGAGTTCAGGAGATGGTCTTGACCAGGACCACGCCCCTAAATGCATTGATGCAACTGCCATGTGATTGGTTGATTAGATAACTGCATTAAGAAGAAGTTGAACAAGTGTTCTTTGTAATCCTTTAGGTGAGAGTAAGTGTGAATGTGAAGTTCCATCGATCGGTAATTCACATCGTGCTTCTGTGTTTCCTACAGATGTTCAACAGCTGGTGCTGGTTAAAGAAGAAGCTCCTGAGGAACAGAGTGCAGGTGTGGACCAGAAAGACCCAGAACACATCCACATGAAGGAGGAACAAGAGGAAAATTGGACCAGTCTGGAGGGAGAGCAACTCCATTTGGAGGAAAAAACTGATGCTGCCAGGTTTTCATTCACATTGGCTTCTATAAAGAGTGAGGATGATGAAGAGAAACCTATGTTCTCACAGCTTCATCAGCAGCAAGTAGAAGACAACGAAGTTCCAACCAGCAGCTCAGCTGACCAGATGACAGCAGAAACTGGTGGAAGAGCAGAAACTAGCAGGAACCAAGATCTGAACCCTCATGAACAGACATCTGATTCTTCAGAAACTGAAATGAGTGGAGAGGATGAAGAGGAGGATGATGTGAATCTAGACTCTGAGCTGTCAGACTCTGGGTCTGAAACTGGAGAAGAAGTCAGTGACTGGAATGAAAGCAGGTCTTCTGATTCACATGTTAGGACTGTCAACAAGTCCTTTAGCTGCCCTGAGTGTGGTGAACAATTTGTCCACAAGAGGTCTCTCCAGAAACATGTGAGAGTGTCAGGTCATTCAGCAATAAGGTCTTCAAGTTGTTTGGTCAAAAAGAAATGTGTTAGAGTGAAGCAAAATGTAGACTCATGCAAGAAAGTCCAGAAAAAACTAAAATCATTTAGTTGTGGTGACTGTGGTAAAAGATTTAGTTCAATGTTTCATTTAAGTGTTCACACGAGAGTCCACACTGGAGAAAAACCTTTTGCCTGTAAGCTCTGTGAAAAAAGATTTAGCACTAAGACAGCTTTAAACATTCACATGAGAGTCCACACAGGAGAAAAACCTTTTGCCTGTGAGCTCTGTGAAAAAAGATTTAGCAGTAAGGCACATTTAAACAGTCATATGAGAATCCACACAGGAGAAAAACCTTTTGCTTGTGAGCTCTGTGGTAAAAAATTTGCCCACAAGGCAGCTTTAATCTTTCACATAAGAGTACATACAGGAGAAAAACCTTTTGCCTGTGAGCTCTGTAAAAAAAGATTTAGCCGAAAGGCAACTTTAAACAGTCACAAAAGAGTCCACACAGGAGAAAAACCTTTTGCCTGTGAGCTCTGTGATCAAAGATTTGGTCACCCAAAAAATTTAAACGTTCACATGAGAGTCCACACAGGACAGAAGCCTTTTGCTTGTGAGCTCTGTGGTCGAAGTTTTAGCCAAAAGGGAGCTTTAAACAGTCACATGATAGCCCACACAGGAGAAAAACCTTTTGTCTGTGAGACCTGTGGTCAAAGATTTGACTATAAAGCGGTTCTAAATAATCATCTAAGAGTCCACACAGGAGAAAAACCTTTTGTCTGTGGGACCTGTGGTCGAAGATTTGCCCATAAACAAACCTTAGACATTCACATGAGAGTCCACACAGGAGATAAACCTTTTGCCTGTGAGCTCTGTGAAAAAAGATTCAGCAGTAAGACGGCTTTAAACAGTCATATGAGAGTCCACACAGGGCAGAAGCCATTTGCCTGTGAGCTCTGTGAAAAAAGATTTAGCAGTAAGACAGCTTTAAACTGTCATATAAGAGTCCACACTGGAGAAAAACCTTTTGCCTGTGAGCTCTGTGATCAAAGATTTGGTCACCAAAAAAGTTTAAACGTTCACATTAGAGTCCACAAAGGACAGAAGCCTTTTACTTGTGAGCTCTGTGGTAAAAGTTTTAGCCAAAAGGGAGCTTTAAACAGTCACATGAGAGTCCACACAGGACAAAAGCCTTTTGCTTGTGAGCTCTGTGGTAAAAGTTTTAGCCAAAAGGGAGCTTTAAACAGTCACATGAGAGTCCACACAGGAGATAAACCTTTTGCCTGTGAGCTCTGTGGTAAAAGAGTTGGTCACCAAAAGAGTTTCAACATTCACATGAGAGTCCACACAGGACAGAAGCCTTTTGTTTGTGAGCTCTGCGGTCGAAGTTTTAGCCAAAAGGGAGCTTTAAACAGTCACATGAAAGTCCACACAGGAGAAAAACCTTTTGCCTGTGAGACCTGTGGTCAAAGATTTAGAGACGAGACAGAGTTAAACTGTCACATTAAGAGTTCACACACGACATAATGAATTCTTTTGAAAGTGTGACGGAAAAAAGTCCAATCTGTGAGAGCAGGGGAGTGGGAGATTATATATATATATATATATATATATATATATATATATATATATATATATATATATATTATTATTATATTATATATTATTATATTATATAATATAATGTATATTGAGTTTTCCAATCAAAACTCAAAACACACATGTTTAAATCTGCCTACAACCTCTGATTTTATTGAACTGTTTCTCTCTTTGTTTTTTCTTGTTTGGGTTTTATTATTGTTTTATTGTATTTTATTACGTGTTTTCTGTAAAGTGACCTTGGGTGTCCTGAAAGGCGCTTTATATATATATATATATATATATATATATATATATATATATATATATATATATATATATATATATATATACACACACACACACACAGAGATATATGTGTGTGTAGTTCATTGATTGATTAAAACGTTTATTTCAAAATAAGACAAAATGTTCTGTAAAAATCAATGAACATAGTAGGAAAGAAAATATATACCAACAAAAAATAAGTCTTTCTCCAAAGGGGGTAAGAAGCGAGTGCTTATTCAATCCCACCTCCTTGTCTCACATTACTAATTTACTTTACAATTTACCATCTATACATATTAATATATATATGCAGCTACTAATGAGAGCATTTTGCATTAACATTTTATGGTACTAGTGATAGTAATAATAATGACAATAACATAAACAGCAGCAAAATAATAATGACAATATCATAGTTTCCAGAACCTCAGAGAACCTCATTTTCATATCCATTATCATTTTTTATGCAGTGATTTAAATTTGTTGATATTTGGACACTGTTTGAGTATTTCCTGCAGCCCATTCCACAGTTTCACACCACATACTGATACACAGAAACTCCTTTTAGTGGATCTTACCCTAGGCATTTTAAAATTTTTAGTCCTTCGTAAATGATGTCCCTCATCACTCTGGTTGAAGAGCTTTTGAATATTAGGTGGCAATAAGTGCTTACTAGCTTTAAACATGATTTGAGCTGTTTGATAATGAACCAGGTCTTGAAGTTTAATGTATTTTGACTGTAAAAACAAAGAATTTGTATGACCCAGTTACCCAACTTTAAGAATGACAAATTTTACCCTCTTTTGCAATACTGATAGTGGGTGTAGTGCATTTTTATAATTGTTTCCCCAAAGCTCTATACAGTAAGTGAAATATGGCAGAACTAATGAACAATACAGAATATGGAGTGATTTACAGTCCAGCAGTTGCTTCATTTTATTTATAATTGCAATGCTTTTTGCTGCTTTGGTTTGTATGTGTCTAATGTAGGGCTTCCAACTGAGTTTGTTATCCAGTATCACACCCAAAAATTTGATTTCATTAACATTCTCCATTTTTGTCATCATCAATCTTTATACTTCTGTTTTGTTTTTATAATTGCCAAATGTCATTACCTTAGTTTTTTCTGTATTCAATGATAATTTATTATTATTCATACATTTTTTTAGTTAACTTAAT